GTTTTTGAGACAGGGTTTCTCTGTGTAGCTTTGCGCCTCTCCTGGAACTCACTTGGTAGCCCAGGCTGGCCTCGAACTCACAGAGATCCGCCTGGCTCTGCCTCCCGAGTGCTGGGATTAAAGGCGTGCGCCACCACCGCCCGGCATGTTGGAGTGTTTTAAAAATTGATTGACAACTCCCAGAAACATGCTACCCCCTAGTGAGCCTGTCAAACTCTCAAAGTCAAAACCTGAAAAGCCCCTCAGTCAGACACCACAGAAACCTGAGCACATCTAAAACTGGGCATTCAGTTTAAGGAACCACCCTTCCTTGTGACACTCTAACGTCATTGGTGTAGTGATTCTAATTATGTCATTAATTTCATTTACAGATCAAGTTTTTTATGTTGCAAAATTACAATGTTGTTTAATTCTTCATTTCTTACAAAAATATCATTAAACAAAACCAAATGAAATATTTGTTATGAATAATAGTGTACATTGTAGACATGAGACAATGTAGGATAAAACTACTGACTTGGAATACATACCAAAATGAAAGGTTTTATAATGGAAATTAAAACATTTGAGAAATTTAATGGTAATGAAGGCATTAGACGTCAGAACTCAGAGGATATCATAGAAATGGCATTTTGAGGGAAACCTATAGTCTTTAATTATTTATTCTACAAAAAAAAATCTCTAAAAATAGTACATGTAGTATTCTGGTTAAAAAGTTTGAGAAGGAGCCGGGCAGTGGTGGCGCACGCCTTTAATCCCAGCACTCGGGAGGCAGAGCCAGGCGGATTTCTGTGAGTTCGAGGCCAGCCTGGGCTACCAAGTGAGTTCCAGGAAAGGCGCAAAGCTGCACAGAGAAACCCTGTCTCGAAAACCCAAAAAAAAAAAAAAAAAAAAAAAAAAAAAAAAAAAAAGTTTGAGAAGGAAACAAATGCAATTAGATGGAGCTGCAGAGCAATTTAAATTAAGAAATTAGGTGGCAAATTTAAAATGAAAGAAATCAATAACATCCAAGGTCTGTGCATATTAAAATGTTTTAAAGAAAATTATCTTTCAGATAATACTGGTCTGAGAAAGAATATATTTGAGTAATATTGTGACTGAGTGAAGAATGACATGTATTTCAAAGAATGTTCAATATGTAAAGCTCAAACTATGAAAGTGGATCCCTATCACACCTCATTTACAAAAACAAAACATCAATTAATTAAAGGCTTAAAATCAACAAAAAGAAATTTAAAACCAAAATTTCAAACATGTCTCGTGGGTTAAAAGCACTGAATGCTCTTCCATGGGACCAAAATAACCCATAAAAAGTTCATAGCCATCTGTAACTCTAGTCTCAGGGAATCCAACACCTTCTTCTGGCCTCCACAGGCCCTGCATATCCATGATGCACAGACGTCATGCAGGAAAAATACCCATACATACAAAATAAAAATAAATAAATCTAAAAAACGTTTTTCTTTTTTGTCTTTATTTTTTTCTTTTTATTGACAATAGGTTTTTTTCCAACATAATACTTTTATTGATTATTTGGGAATTTCATATAATGCACCCCATCACACTGGATTCTCATTCTTCTCAGGTCCACCCTCCCACTGTTGTGCCCTCCCACAAAGAAGAAGAAGAAGAAGAAGAAGAAGAAGAAGAAGAAGAAGAAGAAGGAGGAGGAGGAGGAGGAGGAGGAGGAGGAGGAGGAGGAGGAGGAGGAGGAGGAGGAGGAAGAGAAGGAGAAGGAGGAGAAGGAGAAGGAGGAGGAGAAGAAGAAGAAGAAGAAGAAGAAGAAGAAGAAGAAGAAGAAGAAGAAGAAGAAGAAGAAGAAGAAGAAGAAGAAGAAGAAGAAGAAGAAGAAAAATACACCCAATCTAATTTGTGTTGCCCATATACTCATTGGAACATTGTCAAGCACTCCATGGCCAGTCCCTAAAGATAACTGAGTCCTTACCCACCCCCGACCCCAACCAGAAGTCACCAACTGTGAAGAGCCACACTTCAGAATCTTTATCACAGTTTTTAAGAACTCTCTTCTGTGGCTTCCTGTCTGGACTCTTACTTTTATTTGGGGGGTTGGGGATTGGCACAGAAGCCTTCCATGTCTCTCATTCTCAACTATGTGTCTGCAGTCATCAATACCACTACAAAAGAAGCTTCCTTGCCAGCAACAGCACAGCTCGTGGATTTCCACATGGTTTTTCGAAGCAGCACGGACCACAGACATCCACACAGCCTCCATTGGCAGCATGGAACACAGGCCTCAGCATGGTCCCTGGGGCAGCACAGACCATGGATGCCAACATGTAAAAAAATATTTTTAAAATTCCAGCTTATAGAAAAAATAGGGCTATGTATCTTCTAGATCTTCAAATGTTCAAAGTGCTCCTTTGGTGAAGTCATTAATTATGTCTGAGAAATAAGGTTTACCGTATATGATTATGTCAACCATGAATAATACGTTTACCATGGCACCAGTGATAATAGCAAAACCATGGGTTCAGCCTAGGAGCCCATCAAGAGATGAATGGAGGGAGAACATATGGTATGTAGATACAATGATGAGTGTTTGGAGTATTTATTATTCAACCCTAAAAGAGAATTAAGTTTCTTCTGCAGGAAAATGGATAGACCCAGAGATTACAATGTTAAATGACATAAGCAAGAAAGTCTAATGTTGCGTGTCTTCCCCCATGTGGAGAACTAGATTACTTTAAAGGCATAGAAGAAGGAGGGGACTATTCATGAGGCAAGGGATCATTGAACAAACAAGAGAATGTTAAGGGGAAGTCATCAAGGTACTTTAGATGGAAATATGGTAATTCTAACTATTTTACAATATGCGGGTAAATTAAAAATTCTAAGTAAGTGGCAAGACAATGGTACCTTTGGATAGAATATAAAATAATTCTACATAGTCTTAGGATGGTCAATTCACTTAATAATAGAAAAGTCTATAAATGCCATGGGAAAGATTGACCAGACAGCACTAAAATTAGAGGAAAAGACAAGCAGCAGCATGGAAAAGAACACTGACAAAATGAACAAAGGCTAATATCCAGGATAGTTAAAGAATTTCGATGAGGAGTTTTTAAAAGACAATTTAGCAGAAACAGACTTAAGACATGATAGTGCCTTGCAAATGAGAAATACAAAGGACTGAAGAACATATGCAAATCCAACTCATTAATACTAAGGAATTCAAATGAAAATTATAATGAGATATACTTATTATACAGATAACAAAAATGCTTCAAACCCCACAGTGACAACACCAGGTATTAAAACACAAAGCACAGAATGGCCCACTGAGATGAGTGAATGATTGACAACCTGAGTTCAATCCCTGGAACCCGCACAGTGGAAGGAGAAACCAGACTCCAGCAAATTGTTCTTGGACCTTCACATGTGTGCATGACACACACATGTACATGGAAATGTACACACACATATGTACACACAAAGCAATAGAATAAAAAATATAAATCATAAAGCAATAAGAATGATAAGTTATATGTAAGTATCTACTAATGTCCATATGCAAACTTTGTAGCCCAGAAACTTCACAAGTGTATGTCGGGATATATTCACAGGGATACTCGTTCAAGTGGACCAAGCTCTAGACAAAAATATTCATGACAGCATGAGTCACAAAAAGCCCTACTCATAAAAGTTGTCCATCAATAACACAAGGATTAATAAACTAAAATATCACACAATAAGGACTAAAGAGATGGCTCAGTAGCTAAGAGCACTGGCTGCTCTTCCAGAGGACCTGGGTTCAACTCCCAGAGCACACAGAGTGGCTCACAACTCTCTGTAACTTCAGCCCCAGGGACTGGTGTGCAGTTTCTGTGGCCACGCACACTCAGTGCACACACACACACACACACACAGATGCAGGAAAATACTCATACACAATGCAAATAAATAAATCTCTAAAATTATATTATGTAATAATCAATTGTATGGAAAAGGCACAAACACCTACCATATTCAACAATGAAAGTAATTCTAACAAACACAATTTGGGACAAGAAAAAAGAAAAATATATGCCACTACATTTCAATTTAGATAAAACTTCATAATTGGTGAAACTATGCTATTATAAGTCAGCAGACTATCTTATGGGGAAGAAAAGATAACAATGAGGAAAAAGGAACTTGAAAACAGCTGCTACAGAGCACACACACTGTCTCCTGATATGAACAATAGCTTTGTCATATTTGATTGAACGAAAAATTAAAAAGCACAAACTTCTCTGGAAGCATGCCATGATTCAATTTTCTTTTTAAAAGTTATTTGTGAGATCATGTTACTTTCTCTTTTCATGAAGGCTATACCCATGTTGGGATACCTACCTAGGGGTACTGATTATTTTGCTATATAAGGTTAGGATCTAAATTGACTGATGCTTTGTGAACCCCCATGTTCATCTGCCACTATCCTCAGGCTTGGTTTAGATTCACATGCTCAAAAGACCGACACTTTCTTTGATAAGGCTACTGTGACAGAGACCATGCTTGCTGCAAATAAACATGTCTATTAGACTCTGGAATAAGCAGGCAGTTCTGATGAACAGGCTTGGACCCAGGCAAGCACTGAATTTGTCACTGTGAACACATCAGCATCACACTCCTTCTCTCAAACACTTCCCACACTGTACCAGCAAAATGTACACACTGAAGAAAGAGAATTACCAGCTCCTTCTCTGCCCACAGAGCTATCACATGACCAGAGAATAATCAGAGCAGGAATGGTGGTGATGATTCCAAAAATACCCTCAAAGAACTATCCACAATTAATCGCTTGCCTCATAATTTTCAAAAGACTTGTAATACTTAAAGAGCAACTTCCTCCTGTGAGAATTTCCTCATGAACAGCAGAAAACAAACAACCAGGAAAAGTTCTGCTTATTGGTCCCTTCATGGCGTGTCCAGGGTATAAAAGCCCCAGGACTGAAACGGTTGTCACAATCTCAGAAACACCTCAATCCACATCCAACACCATGACCAACTCCTGCTGCTCCCCTTGCTGTCAGCCCACCTGCTGCAGGACCACCTGCTGCAGGACCACCTGCTGGAGACCCAGCTGTGTGAGCAGCTGCTGCCAGCCCTGCTGCCAGCCCAGCTGCTGTGGCTCCAGCTGCTGCCAGCCTTGCTGCCAGCCCACCTGCTGTAGGACCTGCTTCCAGCCAAGCTGTGTGAGCAGCTGCTGCCGCACACCCTGCTGCCAGCCCTGCTGCTGTGTGTCCAGCTGCTGCCAGCCTTGTTGCCAGCCCAGCTGCTGCCAGCCCAGCTGCTGTGAGTCCAGCTGCTGCCAGCCCAGGTGCTGTATCTCCAGTTGCTGCCAGCCCTGCTGCCAGCCCAGCTGCTGCAGGCCCTGCCTCAAGCCCTGCTGTGAGCCCTTCTGCCTCAACCTGTGCTGCCAGCCAGCTTGCTCTGGACCTGTGACCTGCACCAGGACTTGCTACCAGCCCACATGTGTCTGTGTGCCTGGCTGCCTGTCCCAAGGCTGTGGGTCCAGCTGCTGTGAGCCCTGCAGCTGTTGATGAAGCCGCTACTGGAATCGAATAATCTATTCTCAGACCTGCTGGAGTTTTACTTTATGCCAAACTCTCTGCCTATAGCACACACACCACCATCCAATCGCCAGTCTTTCTGCTAACAGACCTGTGTCCTGCACCCCGACTGCCATCTTACCCATTTTGATGTGATTCTCATTTCTCTGCCTGTCAGCTTCACCTGTTATGATCTGGATTCATAGTCTCAGCATTGACAGAAATCATTCCTTTAATAAGCTAAGAAAAAACATGCACAATTCACAACTATCTCATTACATCTTTGAAATGATAAATACCCATCATTATACTTCAGTGTGTTGAGTGTTCACGGTTTTTATGACTCATCTGTGACTCATCATGACATCTTTGTATTGTCTCCCCAACTAAAGAGACACTACCCACTGCTATTCTAATAAAGTCTTCCTCATTCTACCTCTCATATTATGTCTGATTCTTTTTCTATGCTTGATTTGCTTTTCACGTTGTGTTTTCTGATCTAAGTCATGCCATTCATTACATTAGATTCAGTGCATTAATCAAAATTTCTTCACGGGGAATAAAATAAGTAAAAACACCAGTTAATGAATGAAAGATTTCTTCTAACTCCTGGGCTTCAGGGTTCAGTACATGATCGCTGGGCCTCATATGCTTGGATGGAAATCATGGTGCACGAGTGTGTAGAGACAGTAGTCGAAGTGCTGAAAATGTGTGACTATGGGTGCTTGTCCCTAAGTGGGACATCTATGGACCTCTCCTACTCCACTGCAAAGGGTTAGGGAGCATCACTGCAGAAGGGACAGAAAGGATTTAAGAGCTGGAGGGTGTGCCGGGCGGTGGTGGCGCACGCCTTTAATCCCAGCACTCGGGAGGCAGAGCCAGGCGGATCTCTGTGAGTTCGAGGCCAGCCTGGGCTACCAAGTGAGTTCCAGGAAAGGCGCAAAGCTTCACAGAGAAACCCTGTCTCGAAAAAGAAAAAAAAAAAAAAGAGCTGGAGGGTGTGGAAGAGTGCTCTGGGGTGCTGTCTTCTGCATATGACATGCCCATTGCTCTCATGAACTCACAGCAGCTGTTGTTATCTGCAAAGTTTAAGCAGTCCAATCTATCCCAGGTAGCTAGGGATGGGTAGAGGCAGGTCCAGGGCCCGGGCTTTCTGATTCTGGAGCTAACATAGTCACAGGTACAACGCAGTTTAAGTAGCTATAACGTTGGAGTGTGAGCATTGTAAATTTGTATACTTCAGTTTCTCCTCTGGCAGTGGAAAGATCAGTTCCTCTCATTTTCAGATCATCTTTACTAACAAAGCTCTTTTCAATTCATTGCTCACACCTTGGTCACCACCAGCCACTTAAGACTCACAATGGTTTTAAGAACCCTACTAAATGATGTAAACTCAATTGTCTCAGTCTATGTCCAGCAACTGGTCAGCCCCTTTAAACCTTTTTGCTGATTCACGTGTGCCTGCTCCTGTCCTGGGACTTTGATGTGAATAGTTGCACTAGGAAGAGCTGGCTCATGTCATGGAAGTGTCATTGTTTATGTTCTCACACTTCTGTCATTGATAGCAAATAGTCATACGGGAATAAATCATGCCCTGTGAGACAGACCAAATCTCCCCTGCACTCAGACATAGAGAGACAATGTGTTTCTAAGTGAAAACATTATTAAGGGAATAAAGGAGCAACAAATCCCAGGACTCAAGGTAACAAGTGGTCGTGCTGCAAGCCTTTGATTCTCTATGATCTCCAGGCCACCTAAGGAATCCAAATAACTTCCTGAGTTTGGGGAGGGAAAAACAAATCAGTGGAGGGAAATGAAAGCCTGAGTTCTGGTATCAATACTGAAGAAAAGGAAGGGGGTAGAGGGAAAGAGAGACATTAAGAGTCATGGTACATATGAACATGGACCTGATAGAGGAAACCCCAAACCTCCATGAACAATTCGTAATGTAGTGGTTGACACTGTTACAGGAAAGAGCCATTAATGAAAAGAAATGAACATGAACGGCTGGGTTTACTTCCCTGAGAACAATATAACATACCTACACAACATCCAATGGGTTTACAGCACAAGAGATATATGATCCTTTTCGGATATATACCTAAAAGTCTCCAACAGCCTGTGTGCAACAGACTTTCAGAGAGACACAGTTTATTGAATTTTCATTGTTGCTTAAGGACAAAGTTGAGGAAGCTCACTGAACTGAATTTTGTTTCTTATACATAGATTCAGGAATATCTCTTATAGAAATGGAGAACTCAAAACCCAAAGGATCATCCCATGTAGGTTTTGACTGAGCTTGAACAACACAAGCTTAACTCCCTTTATTATATGTCTATGTGTTCTTTAAATTTATGTGTTCTTTGAAATGTATCTTCAGTCAGTTTATAGACAATTACATAAACATCAAGTGCTCTTTGAAATTCTCCTTTTGACACACCTAGACACTACTCTTAAATTTTAATCACACTCCTTCCAAGAGAAAGTGCTTTTGGATTCTAACACCCATCTCTGAAATAATATAGCTTAACTTCAAGAATTACATGGGAACCATTCGAAAAGCCATATAGGAAAGAAGGAAAGTCAAGTTCGGGCACAGTGGGACTGGAAATATGCATTTGCTTCCTCTTACTCTTGTAACGAATCACCGCCGGCTTCATGGCTGAAACAGCACAGCAATGTTATCTTCTATTGTGAGGTCTGAAGCCAAATTCAGTCTCATGGGTTCAAATCCAGAGGTTGGTATTGTCATATTGCTACCCCCAGCAACAGAGGAAATCTATCTCCTAGCATTTTTCAACATGCAGAACTGCTCATATCCCTTGGCTCATGGCCCTGTGTTTTTCTTACCTGTGTTTTGCATCTTCCTCTGTCTTTGTGGGGGTTCTTTTTACATTGGGCATAAGAGGAGTCTCTCCCTCTTGAGATTCCTAACTAGAAAATGTGGTCAAAGTACATGGCAGACTTGCAAGAAATTGTCTATATGAACACCCAGCACTATGCACACCAAACATCAGACAATAAAAATAGGAAAACCTTAAGAGAGGAAGAAGGCAGGCCACAGTAGAGAAGAGGACACTGGTAAGGCAAGAAATCAACAAAGGTGTCAACAGAGAAATAAGAAAAAACAAACAATTCCAAAATTAAGACACGGTTAGCATCACATAAAAGAGAACTCTAAATGTCCAATGAATGCTTGGGAGGTCAACTCATTCGTCTTCAAGGAAAATCAAATTAAGTCTTTAAGGAGAAAACACTGAATAGCTACTCTGTTAGTCAGTGTTCCATCACCGTGACAAAATGAGATAAACAATTTAAAAGGAAATGTCTATTTTAGCTTGTGGTTTCTGAAGTTTAAGTTCACAATTGCTTTGCCTCCTTGCTTTTAGGCTTAGGGTTGAGGCAGTATATCACGGCAGAACCATGGGAGCAACAAAAGCTGATTGCCACATGGTCGTCAAGAAACAAAGACACAGAGACGCAAGAGCCAAGTCCCCATATGTATTTCAAAACACATGCTCTCAATGACTTCCTTACTCCAAGTAGATCCCACCCCTAAACATTTTATCACTCCTTAACACTACCATCAGCTGGGGATCAAGCCTTCAACATCTAGACTCTGAGTGGACATTTAAGAACCAAACTGTAACAGATACATAATAAAAAATGGCTAAAAGTCCAGACTGAAAACATCAAATGTAGATGATACCTAAAGCAATGTGAACAATCAGTTGTGTAATCTATATATCACTGCAACCTTAAGTGTGTGCATGTGTGTTCATGTCTGTATGGGTACACACATGTGTGCAGGTGTGGGTGCATCTGTTTATATATGGACAACCTTGGGTATTCCTCAGGGAGCCATTCACCTTGTTTTTGAGCTGGTCTCACATTGGTCTGGAACTTACTGATTAGGCTAGACTGCCTAGCCAGAAAGCCCCGGGGACCTGTCTGTGTCCTCCTCTATGGTGCTGGGTTTACAAGTATATACCACTTTGCTCAGTATTTTTTACAAGGGTTCTGGGGACCAAACTCAGGTTTTCATACTTGCATGGCAAGCACTTTACCAACCGATCTACCTGCCCAACACATGCAGCTGGCTTTTTAAAAACCATTGGAACTGTGTACTAATGTTTGTTATATCTACAAACATTCACAAACCAGACTAATAAATAGACAAATCATCATAAGAGTATGATTCTCAAAAGTCTTAATGATAAAAAAAAATGTCGATTGAGGACATAATGAGTTAAAAAAATTAAGATCTTGTCATGAAATGAGCATTAATAGATTGTAGCCATATCACACAATTCTATGAAACTATTGAGCAAAATGAAAATGAAATCACAACTGAATCCAACAAAGCCATTAAATCTCACAAATATAATTTTGAGCAAAGGAAAAGTGAACCATGAGTTATATGATTTCATTTTTGATAAAACTCAAAAGTTGATATACTTTTGATACACAAAAGTGATAGCAAAAACCACACACTAGTTGCCTTAGACAGCTACTAAACACACACACACACACACACACACACACACACACACACACACACACACACACCTGATATGAAGGACAGACACACTATTTCTTATATCATATCTGGTCAAGCTACAGTATATGCCCATCTCTGAAAGTATATTATGGTTCAATTTATTTTAAAATTTTGCTGGTATCATCTTATGTCATTTAAGTTCTTCATTTTTCTATGGGCGAACAGGGCCAAGATCTAAGTCAGCCAATGTCTTCTGAACTCCCATGTCTTCTGTCTGACTCTGTATTCTGGCTTTGGTGCTCATGGGTGCATTTGAAGAAAGACTGCAAGCTACCTTCTCAACATGGATTCTTTGATAAGATTGGTCCAGCACGGGTAACGTTTGCTGCAAATAGGCTTGCCTGCTGTAGGGTATAACAAGCAAACATCTCTGGGAAACAGCCTGGCCTCGGGTATGGCTTCGTTTAATACTGTGAATGTAACTCTCCCT